TCGCGAGGAACACGTCCGAGTTGCAGCTGCTTACTCCCGCCGCCTGCGAGTGGAGCGCCATTCCCAGCTCCAGGGACTTCACTTTCACCAACCTGTTGCCAACTCCCTGTCCCTGTTCCTTCTCTGCGATGCTGGCGCAGGCCTTCAGCGCAGCGACGAAGCTCCGGGCGTCCCGGACGCAGCCCTGCCGCTGCATTTGCTCGTGCAGCTCCAGAGCCAGATGACCATCGCCGTTCTCCGCGTAGGCGAGCATCAGAACTGTCCACGAGACAGCATCACGCTGCTGCATGGCGTCGAAGACTCTGCGAGCGTCGCCCAAGCTTCCACACTTGGCGTAGACGTCCAGGAGAGCGTTCGTCACGTAGATGTCCGTGTCAAGCCCGGCATCTCTGGCTTCTCCATGCACCCGCGTTCCCCTCTCGAGGGCCTCGGCCTTGATGATCGAGTTCGTGTCCACTTGCCGCGAGCTTTCTTTCTCGGCAAGACCACTGCAAGCTCTCAACGCGGCAACGAAGCTCCGGGAGTCCGGTGCTAAGCTTTGTTCGCGCAAACGCTCGAAGAGATCCAAGGCCAGCTCCTCTTCACCATTGTCGGCGTGTCCCAGCATCAGCGCGTTCCAGGACACCACATTGTGGCAGCGCATGCGATCGAAAACTCTGCGGGAGTCCAGCAAGCTCCCACACCTTGCGTACAGGTCGACGAGAGTGTTGTTCACGAATATATCCGTCACGCAGTGCTGAAACCGAGCCGCCTGGGAGTGAAGACCCATCCCCTCCTCCAGCGCCACCATCTTGTCGCCACTTTGATCCGCTATACTGCCGCAGGCTTGAAACGCAGCGACGAAAGTTCGAGCGTTTGGACCGCAGCCTCGATCTCCTCCTCTCAACCGAGTGAATAACTCCAGCGTCACCTGTGGCTCTCCATTCTCTGCGTATCCCAGAAGCAATGCGTTCCACACCACCACGTCGTGAGAAGGCATCCTGTCGAAGATGAGCCGAGCATCAAGCATGCTGCCGCAGTTCGCATACATGTCCACCAGGATGCTCGAAACAAACACGTCTTCGCAGCCACTTCTCGAGGCCTGCGAGTGAATCGCCATGCCTTGCTCGAGAGTCCCCAGCTTGACACGCCTGCCGCCAACTTCCAGAGGCTTTTTTTTCGCTGCGGAGCCCGTGCACGCCTTGAGAGCGGCCACAAAAGTCTGAGCATCCGCTTGCTGAGAGCTCTCGTGTTGCATGCGTCGAAACAGCTCCAACCCGGTCTCGTATTCTCCGTTGTCGGCATAGCCCAAGATCAATGAAGTCCAGGACACCGCATTCCGGGACTCCATGGCGTCGAAGATCTCTCGAGCCTCCGCCACATTCCCACACTTTGCGTACATGTTGACGAGGCTACTGGCCACGAAAATGTCGGAGTCCTTCCCGTATTTAACTGCATCTGCGTGAACTCTCCTTCCGTTTTCGATGTCGCTCGAGCTCGTCGAGGCTTTCAGCGCTGAAAGAAGAACGGGAACGCTTGGTTTCACCCGGTGGAGTGACTGTACGATGGCTTTTAAGATATCAGCTGGGCCTCGGAAGCTCTTGAACTTCCGCTGCAGCATTCAAGCACTGTCATACCTCGTCCCACCGAAGACCCAAACTCAGGAAAACCCTAGTAAAACCTCTGTAGAGTTACAGATAGCAACATTGATCAGTTTGACATTTTTTAAAACGTACCAATGTATCAAACCTCGATTTTTCGTGAATTTGCCGGTAACAGTGAACCTATCGATTGTCGACACTGTAACTTGGAAGAGCAAATCACTGTTAACAAAAAACGGAAAAGAAAAATACATACCTCTTCCAGATAATTCCATTCGAGACACTGCATATTTTCCGGAAAGCTTCGAAGAAAAAGGAAAAACGGTTCTTAGCATTTCTTCGTCTTGTCTTCTAAAGGAAGGCTCTTTGTTCCAACGCCATATATATTGACGGAAAACAGGCAAAGAAAAAGAGCCAAGCCAGCGAAGGAGCGCTTGCCTGGATAAAGGCTTGAGGATGCCCGGATGACGGCAGGGAGCGTATGTGGAGCTGGAGATGCTCAGTAAAGGGCTGGGTCCGCTCCTTCAAGGACCAAAAACCATGCTAGGTCCTTTGCTCCAAGTACAGTGGTCTGATATCAATAACTCACATCAGTTCGTTTGTAAGGAAGCTTAAAAGAATTTAGACGTACCCATTCCTTATGCTGAAGCAACTTTGAGGGTAAGCTTCACGTTCATGGCTGCCAATTCTGCTGCGAGATACCGGAAGACGAATGGCATGGCAACCTTGACGACTCCAGCATTCGACTGGCAGACTTTGCAGGTAGCCTTCTTGGGTTTGTTCCGAGCACCGACTGCGGGCTGCTTTGAGGGTACCATCAGAGTTGACAGCAGACTCCCGCAAGTGGTGCACACGTCTCCAACGTGGTAGTCGGAGGATGTGTGCAATCGATCGTGTAGTAAATACGCTGCACCGTGTGCAAGTAGCGAGTCACGCTCCATCTCTCCAAAACGTATGCCTCCACCGAGCTTGCGACCACCTACTGGCTGTCTAGTGACGGGATTGATAGCACCGAGCGAGCGGACCTGGGATAAAGACCACATTAATCCGATTTTCAGTTCTCCGAGTTGAGTTACCTGAAACTTGTCCGAAACCATATGTCGCAGTCGCTGATAATACACAACACCGATGAAGATCTCACAGGTGAGTTCCGTTCCTAGCAAACCGCTGTACATAACCTCGGTGCCATGGTAATTGAAACCGTGCTGTGCCAGCTGCTCCCCAAACTCACTAATCGCGGGATAATGCTTATCTTTACCCTTGTAGCCGCTTCCTGTTTTACCATCTTTTGCATCTAAAGCTGCTGAGCTGCTTCTAAAGGGAGTCGAATCCACGTACTCGCCTCGAAGAACGCCGGCCTAAAATAGGCATGAAGCATAAGGAGCACATCGCTAGTTCGCTAGTACCTTGGCAGCCATAGACTCCATAAGCATACCGATCGTCATACGAGACGGGAATGCGTGGGGATTGATAATAATATCGGGACGCATCCCGGTGACAGCCGAAAATGGCATGTCGATATCTGGCCACAACTGTGACAGAATTCCTTTCTGTCCATGGCGACTGCTGAACTTGTCACCAATAACCGGGTTTCGATCATGGCGGAACTTCACAGCGATCTGCAGAGAAAGCCAATTATTGGCATGCATCGAGATAAGGAGATTGTGACCTTTTGAAGTGGGTCTCTGCCATGCCCGATGGCAATGACGGAATCTATGACGACATTTTCTGCAGCTTTAAGCTTATGTAGCTTCGCATCACCAGTCATTGTATTCAAAACACTGCAATAAGGATCTCCATTATGCATAGTCTGCAGAGAAAACGATTAATAGCATTTCGAGCGGATTTAATCAGACCTGGCCAATGTGTGGAAGACCGTCCACGTCAAGAAAATTATGTATATTTCTCTTCCCAGTTGGTCTTGAAAAGAGGTTCACAATTCCATCAGATTTTTTTTGCAGCAAACTTAAATCGACATGCTCGGTCTAAAAAGAAAAAACATATCAATTTACAAAGGACAAAGCAAAAATCACTGTCAAACAGCACCTTATAGATTTGTCCATGTGCTAAACCTCTCTCCATCGATGATTTGTTCATAATCATAGCATCTTCCATGTCAAAACTACATGAAAACCACTCAAATTCAAACCTTAAAATGGATCTCAGTTAGCTTTACCCTGTGTACGCTAACACTGCAACAACAGCGTTGGTGCCAAGTGGAAATTCGTCCATGTTGTACTTTTTGTAATTAACGTTGCGCGCAACAGGAGACTGAGGGTTCTACAAGAAAAGCAAAGAATATGGCTAACACAAAGAACACTTAAATCTAGTCTTACCTGAAGATTGTACATTTTGTGATCCGTTCTAAACTTCAAAGCCTGTGAAGCAAAGCCTAGCGTTTGTTTTCCCATCTGTAGAAACTGTTAGAAAAACTAAACGTGATGTAGCGCTCGTATAAACCTGGCACTGGTACATATTTCGAGGACTTTGATTGTGATCCGACCAAGGTGTTGAGCTTGCAACCACACTCAACATAGCCGTCGGATGCAGTTCAATGTGAGTTGCTGGTGGAGCTGAAGGTGTTCGACCGCAATTTCCTCCGTCGGGGCATGCAATTTCCATGTATGCCTGCACATAGAAGCTTAAAAGTGAGCTTATAAAAAATTATAAAACCTGTTCGAAGGCAGAGATAAGTTCAATAGCTCCTGTATCAAGTTGCTTCACTGGGCGAAGAAACCGTGATGGCGTCGTGTACAGAAACAAGCCAGGGTAAGCTCCAGCATACGTGCAAGGAACATATCCAATCTCTAGATCGATAGGGACCTGCACTAACACGTTAGTTCAAGCAGAACAGCAGTAAAAAACGGTGGCAACCTGAGAACCCTTGGTCACTTTCAAACTTCGTAAGTGAGAAACGGTTTGAGGTATGTTTCCAACCGGCATATAGCCGAGTACACACCCGTCAAGGAGAACCGCCAGATACTTGGGAGGGCCTGACAACGCCAATAAAGGTGAAATCGAAACCATGCCGAGTTGAGCTAACACCGTAGCAATAGTTCGATGAATAACCTTGGGGTCCTTGGGATGATTATTTTGATCGAGGTCAGTGGAAATTTCTGAACAACAGAAAACCGAGTTAGTTCCCGTGACATTGAGCAAAATAAAAAGCTTACTGCACAATGAGCTTAAATGAGTGAGCAACCCACAAGGTTCACCATCGGGAGTGTGAACGGGGCAAAGAAATCCCCACGATCTACACATCCATAAAGTTAAAGGGACTGGAGTAGAATCAGTGTCCTTACTCTGGTAGTAGCTTGCGCACGGATGTAGTTCTCTGTCTTGCAAAAAAAGCTCCCCTATGGACGGAACGAAAATGAGATATGAATCTGAAAAAATTCAGCTTTTCGGCTACCACGCTAAAACCATTTGCCTAAAGATGAGAAAATGAGCACCACAAAGAAACACGTTGTACTCAACCTGCTGAAGGTCCATATGCGACTGGGATTGAATATTTCCAGTGCTTAATAAATATTCAATCCGTTTGCCTATATCCACAGCATTATTTTTCTCCACAATTTTTAAAACCTTTGCATCTGAAAAGAGAAGTTTGGCCGCCATCAGAAAATGAAAACGCAAATCATACGGTCGCTTAAGTCGAACTCTTCCTTGAGTTGCATTTCCCTTTGCAACAACCTCTTGCACCTGTAAAGCCAGTCTTCTAGTCTATCCTGAAATACATATTTGTAACCAAAGCAGAACATTATTTGTAATGTTTACCTTCAAATAGATATTCATCAGATGTCCGGGTAGTAAGAGCTCCTGATGTTGTAAAGTATCGGAACTATCAATCGAGGCCGACCCATCCACAACCGCAAAAAGCTTGTGCAGCATATGACTGAGCTAAAAAACACAATTAGACCAAGAAAACACACCAATCAACTTACATGAGCAAGTTAAACTTATCACGGAAATTGTCCAAATGTACAAAGACAAATCTCCTCAGAACATCCTCTCCGACCTGAGGATGCGAAGACGAGTCAAACACTTATGAAATAACGCTAGTCTTACCTCGGCGTTGGACATACTAGACAGCGCCTCCAAAGGAGTCCGAAATGTTTCACCTGGTTTACAGTTCGCATATAAAAGATAAAAACAAAACAAAAAAAAAGTATTTCCATCAGGCTTACCAATATAACGAAGGCAATCCAAACGTGTAAGGCAAGGTTGTCGTTGCGTCTCTTCAATAATGATTCTTGCTCTTTGACTTATAAGCTGGCTTCCAACTGCACCTTTGGACTGCTCTTGCCCTTGGACGTGGATGCCACTCAGCTGCTCGAAAATTTCTCGGTCACTTGTGTCCATGAACGCCTGCACGGACAGTCAGTAAACAAAAGATGCAGGTAACGTAGCAGCACCTTCAAAATTATTCCGACCGGAATCACAAACTCCTGCCTCCGAATCCTGAAAACATTTGCTCAGTCGTAACAAGCAATAACAATGTTGTGACTTACACAAAACCAAGCCTAGCCGTGCCATGATGCAGGTAGTAAAGTTTGATAGTTGACCCTGTTTGGTCTGGTCTCACACATCTGAACAAACACAGTAACAAAAGGGCCCATAAAACCGCCTATGTATACCTCATCATCAACCCGATGTCAGAGAATCCTGCTCCTCTGTTTTGAAACGCATTTCTCCTTATAGCAATTATCTGTTCAAACACATCCCAAAGTTCAAGCGCCATGATATTTTCTATGCGACCATACATGATTTCGTTTCGGTACAATGAGCATTCGTATGATTCTTTCAATTCCTTTCACAATGAAGTACCTACAAACAAGTAGCTGAGTTACTATCAGGAAAGGTTTGAAGGTAGAGACCATACCCTCCCATCTCCGTGCCCTCCTCTTTCAAAGAAATAAGCTTTTGTGGCGACAAGCCTCTCAAATGGCAAAGGCTCGACTACAAGAATTTACTCAAATTTAAGGAAGAAATGAGAGCAGAAACCAAATACCTTCAACATTATAGGCAGCTTTCCAAGCGAAAGTTGATGGTGTCTAGTCATTGAACCGTAATCCAAGATAAGCTGGATATTGAGCGCGCCAGTATAGCTCAAGAACCCTTGCCGGCACTACGATAAAATAAACTATAAGGAAGAAGAATCAAAGAAAAAAACTACTGCTCACACCTCCTTTGGAAGAAGACGATGCTCCATTGCCTTCTCCTTGAGATCCTTCACGGGCGGTTGGACAACAGGCTTGTCGAGCGTCAGTGCCAAAACAACGTCAAGGGAAAATCCAAAATCTCCAGAATGAAATCCATCTAGCAGTGCAAGGCAATGCGCCTATACTCATCCAAAGGATATAAATCAGCTTATTCCCAGTCGAACCCTGCTCGATCTCCACCGGCGCGATCCCCTTCACTGCTTCCACCAGTCCCCGCTGCACGAAGTAGTCGAAGGAATCGATGTGAGGCGAGACGAGATCCTCCAGCGCCTTGTACGCTGCGGAATCGGGAATGCGCGGCGGTCGAGATGTCGTCGCGCCGTCCTTCTCCTTCTTCCTCTTCTTCTCCATGCCTAGAACCCTAAACCCGCAAAACCCTGGTTATAAACGTGATACCTTTATATGCCATATTTTCCTCGTCGGCGTCTCATTCGTGCCAGGTGTCGCGCTTTTGGTTCGTTGGCCAGGGTTTCTAAAGAGTAGCGTCACTCTTGCTGCGGTGCCCCACTCTCTTCGCTCGATCGATCTGCAGTAGGGTAAGTAGAGCGCAGCGCCGCATTTCCATCGATTTTACTCGCTCAGCCGATCGCCTTGATCTAAAAGGTAGATCCTAGATCGCGACAGATGGCCGCGTCTCCTGCTTCTCAGATCTCGCAGCTTTCGACGGGATTGCCGCGGCAGAGCTTCCTGTTTGGGGATAGACCGCAGTGCTTGAATCTGAGGAGAAGTAGCTCGAGCTCCAATTGTCTCTCATCGTCAAAATCAGGTACTGGAGCTCTGTTCTACCTTTTTCTTCTCCTGGCTTGATGGACGCTTCACTGTGTAGGATCTCCTAGAGCGGTGGATTCCGTGAGAGATCCCAGCTCCAATCTAGTGGTGTGTTTTGGAGAGATGCTTATAGACTTCGTTCCAACAGTAGGGGAAGTTTCTTTGGCCGATGCTCCAGCGTTTAAGAAAGCTCCTGGAGGAGCTCCAGCCAATGTTGCTGTTGGTATCTCTCGGCTGGATGGAAACTCTGCTTTCATCGGTAAGGTGACAATCTAATCTATGATCACCTTTTCCAGCTTTCAAACAAAATTTTCTAAGTTTTTTGGTTCTCCACCACTTTGCTTTTACCAGGTTGGAGAGGATGAATTTGGTTTCATGCTCGTGGACATTCTCAAAGAGAACAAGGTGGAAAGCAAAGGCATGCGTTTTGATCCCGGTGCTCGCACGGCTCTCGCGTTTGTGACTCTCCGCAAGGATGGCGAGCGCGAGTTTATGTTTTACCGCAATCCTAGCGCGGATATGTTACTTAAGCCTGAGGAGCTTGACGCTGACCTTATCAAGCAGGTATCAAAAGTATTACTTCACATCACTTGCGTTCTTACTTGGCGTGATAACTTCCAGGCATCCATTTTTCACTACGGCTCTATCAGTCTCATCGCGGAGCCTTGCAGATCCGCTCACTTGGCCGCGATGAAAATTGCCAGAGAAGCTGGAGCGGTCCTCTCGTATGACCCCAACTTAAGACTTCCGTTGTGGAGCTCGGCAGAGGCTGCGCGCACAGGCATCAAAAGCATTTGGAACGAAGCCGATATCATCAAGGTTTGTGTGAATGAGTTCTTTTATTTTTCAAAGGTCTTAAGTTTCCAAGTTTCTAAGTTTGCTCGGTGGCTTTAAAATTTGAAGATAAGTGAGGAGGAGATCACATTTCTAACTGAAGGAGGTGACCCTTACAGCGATGAAGCAGCTCAAGCTCTCATGCATCCAAACTTGAAGCTCTTGCTAGTGACCGAAGGCGAAGGCGGCTGCCGCTATTACACAAAGGTTCCAGTTTTTCTTTTGTTTAGCCTTGTCTTTCCTTGGTTTTTCATGTTCGCTTACTGTTACAGGAGTTTCTTGGTCGTGTGGACGGTATCAAAGTCGACGCCGTCGACACAACAGGCGCAGGCGATGCGTTCGTCGCTGGAGCCTTAACTCAGCTCGTAAAAGAGCCATCCTTGTACAAGGTAAGATTCGTTGCGTTCCTAGAAATGGAGAATGAATCAAATGTTTTTGTGTCAGGACGAACCGAGGCTGAGAGAAGCTCTCCTCTTTGCAAATGCTTGCGGTGCGATCGCAACTACGGAGAGGGGAGCAATCCCCGCCCTGCCGTCGAAATCCGCAGCGTTTCAACTTATAGAAAAGTCGTCTGCCAAAGTCTTGCAGCCATGAAAGTTTTAAGAACACAATTTTTCCTCTTTTTTATCCTGCTTTGGAACTTTTACATTTAAGATATTTAATCGCGAACTCTAAAGTGTTATAGATCCCGTGGCAGCACCGAAACAGTCTAACCAAGTCAATCCTACTTTTATTGACAAGAAGAACACACGAGTCCCCACAGCAATGGCGATGGCAACATCGGCACGAAGTGTTCTTTCTTTTCCTCTTGATCTTATCTGTGCATCAAGACAGGAGTAGCTTGAGCGGCCTCCCGCAATTGTGGAAAAATACGAGGGTGTTGGTGTTGTCGAGAGGATCAACTTGGCTGGCTATGATTTGGAGCGGCTGGATCTCATCGGGTGCGAGCTCCCGTCAATGCTTGCATTCAACGCTTCTGCGAACAATATCTCCCGCGTTGGCCCGATTCAACAATGCTCACTGTCACAGCTGGATCTGTGTCACACCAAGATCTATGGCCACATTCCAAAGTAGACATCGCAACTTCGATCGGTCAAGGTTTTGGTCTTGGGGCGTAACAATCTTACTGGGCGATTGCCTGATTCGCTAGGGAACTGCTCGAATCTGGAAGAGCTTAGCCTTGAGCTCACTGGGGGGATACCATTGAGTTTGGGCAACCTTTCTCACTTGGCTACCATAGATCTGGGATACAACTTTCTTACAGAGAGACTGTGTATTCGGGGACAATGCATTTCAAGGACTTTCTCTTCCACATAACAACTTTAGAGACGCTTAACCTCAGGATCCTAGTTCTCTCTGGTAATTTACTTACTCAGAGCTCCATTGCTCAGAGCTATAGCAAACTGAGAAAGGAATGACAACAAGCTCAATGGCTCAATCCTCGGAAGACTAACTGGGCGATTGCCTGATTCGCTAGGGAACTGCTCGAATCTGGAAGAGCTTAGCCTTGAGCTCACTGGGGGGATACCATTGAATTTGGGCAACCTTTCTCACTTGGCTGCCATAAATCTGGAATACAACTTTCTTACAGAGAGACTGTGTATTCGGGGACAATGCATTTCAAGGACTTTCTCTTCCACATAACAACTTTAGAGACGCTTAACCTCAGGATCCTAGTTCTCTCTGGTAATTTACTTACTCAGAGCTCCATTGCTCAGAGCTATAGAAAGGAATGACAACAAGCTCAATGGCTCAATCCTTGGAAGACTAAGTCATCTCCAAGTTCTCGGCTAAGGTATCAGGTTTGAGTGCCGCATGACTGCACAGAAAGACCCAGCAGAACCACCAGTTGCAAAGCTAATCAAGACCATAGCCGCTACATTGTTGTGTGCAAGAATTAAAATACATATCAACTTTACTTGGGACACAGTGTCACGCGGACATGCAAGTCTCCTTCACGTACAATGGATCTCCAGAACTGGTTGTAGCTGTGGGCTGCTGAATGATCTCCAAATTGGCTTACCTTCCAATGCGGGTGTTGGTATCTAAGCTTGAACACCTCAGTGTTCTGGATAGCAAACTCTTAGAAAAAGATAACCCGAAGCCTATTTTGCTGATTTAAACACATTTGAAGTCTGAAGGAACCATGACATAGCAGAAGTCATGCCACCAGACCTTTTGAAGGGAAGGCTCGATATTTAAGATGCTGAAATGTCTCTCGTGCTCTTATACACGTACGTGTTTAAAGAGAGCATCCATACTCACCACATCTTTTCCACCAGGGGCAGCAGCAGGGTCTGGCCCTGGGAGGGCAGCACGCAAAGGTTGGAAACAACGACCTGCAGCTAATCCTTTTACTGCACGGAACCGGGGGCGACGGTCTTGGAGAGGGTGGCGGCGGAGATGGCGGTGGTGGAGATGGCGGTGGTGGAGACGGTGGTAGCTTCTGTTTGACGGGAAAGTAGACGAAGCCATTCACTCCACATCGACCCAGTGGAAGACCATGGTTTCCACGCTGCAGCCTCATGTAGCCTTGCTCTCCCCAGCTTGTCCCCGCCGAGTTTTTGATGATCCAGTAGTCCTGGCCGTTTTCGGATCCGTAGCCGACGATGAGCACTGCTAGATACGGAGTTGCCTGGTCATCTTTGCATGGGCCCTTGTAAATCCCCTGCATTTTTAGTTCAAAGGCTTCAGCGACTTGTCCTTCACAAAAGAAAAAAAAAAAGATTTTTTACTGACCCCTTTGTAGCGAAGGAACTCCGGCGCATTGCCATCGATTAGAGCTGTCACGGGCTGCTTGGCAACCTGCGCGACCATGTCCGTGTCGTCGCTGGAGCCATAGAGATTGTCGAAGTCGTCAATGCCGACGGAGTAGCGGTTCTGGAGAGCACAACTTTAGTAAAAAACAATGGTTCACGTACTTACATGTTTTCGGCAGGTGGCATTGAAACCTGTGAAGTGGTAATCCGATGCGATCGAGAGGCCATTGCCTGTTTCGACGAGGTACTCAAATGCGTTCTGGGGAAAGCCGTTGTGGCAGCCATTGGTGCCATAGCTCCGGGAGCAATCCAGCAGCTGCTGCGCCGACAGCTCCACCAAAACTCCAGTTGCAATCTTGTTGATTCCCTCGATGGCTTCTGCCGCCGCGAAAGCCCAGCTACCATCTTTCCATCCATGCCATAATATAAATATAAAGTGAGAAAGCAGGATTGAAGCTGAAGTCCAAGACTTACTCTGGCATCCTTTGCGATCTTTCACAGGTGTGACAGCCCCCAAAGTCCTCCAGTCGATGGATTTGGGGACAGAGTCGACGTCGCCAAACATTCGGATCCCTGCATCCCCCTCCAGAGTACTATCACTTGCGGCATTTGCATTTGCAGCAAGCAGGAGGAGGAACGAAATCGAGACCAAGAGATGAGGAGACATTCTCAGAGAGTCGTTGAAGCATGTAGATACTAGAGAACGAAGGTTTATAAAAGCATTTCACAACAGCCCACGAGACTCATGCGGGTGTAGGCACTATCAATCGTACATGAACAGACTTTTTTGCTTTGACAAAAAACATGTGCGAAAAAGAGAATTCATGAGGTCTTCACTTTTCCCCACGGCGGACTAACCACATTTTGCAAAGATTAAAGATGGTGTGACATTTTTCTTTCTGTTTCTTTGGCTTCTTCAAGAAGATTGCCTTTTTGTGTTGAAATTACTTTTCCATCATTATCTATTCGAATTTTTCTTTTTCAATTTTTGAAATGTTTAAGGTTAAGTGTTTTTTAATTGGGCCTATAAATTTAAATTCAAAAATTTATATTTAGGTTTTGGATCCAATTATGTTAATTAACTAAAAGAATCACCATGTTAGTTTGGTCCACTAAATGAGATTAGCAATCCACCACACTTATCTTGACACTTTAGTGGACTGTGAAAGAACCCATCCACATCCACATTACTTTCCAATCTCTATAGCAATTGTAAGAAAATTAATGAACTCTTTTCTAAGTTTACACCAGAACCACCACATTAATTTTCACTTGCTATAGCTATCTTCATCTTAGAATAAATTGACAATCTGGTCCTAACCAGCATTAAAAAATTCAACTTATTATATACTACTATTAACTAATAATTCTCAAGAATTAACTAGGGTTTATGGACTACACTGAATCTTCTCGTGAGTTTAGGGTTTATGGATTCCTCGAAGCTCCGGCTCGTGAGCGGCAGCGTCCGGCAGCGCAGTTCAACACCGCTCGCCCCACTATCGCAATGCCTCCGTCCCGACAGGAGCACGGAGAATCCGCGCGTGTTGATCAGGGCAAGCGGCGAAATCCTGGCATCGCAGCAGCAGGGTCATTCGATCGGGCAGCAGCTGCTCGCGCCGCCGCCGCCCAGTCCCGCCCGCCAAATCCCGCGGGAGCTGGATCCGCTGCGAATGCCCGAGCACGTCGCGATTATAATGGATGGGAACTCTCGCTGGGCCAAGCTCCGGGGATTGGCCACCGACAGGGGGCACGAAGCCGGCGTGCATGCATTGCGAGAGATCGTGGCCGCCTCCAGCCGCTTGGGTATTAAAACTCTCACCGTCTTTGCCTTCTCCACCGAGAACTGGCGTCGTCCCACGGTGCATTCCTTTTCCCCTTGTTGTTCTCCTTCCATTTTGATGAACTTGCCTCAGGATTGCCGTGATCCAGATTGAAATCCAGTTCCTGATGCAACTGTTCGAGAGAGTGATCTCGGAGGACTCCATGAACATCTTCACGTAAGTCTCTAGTTTCTTTTCCTAGTGTTTGTTTATCAT